ACTTTTAACTTTAATTCCTTACTCACTGTAATGAGACTAAAATGTTTATGCTATTATTTCTATCTTTCTCAATACTATTACTAAAAAAATGGCTTTGAAATTCAGTGGTTTCTCAAATATCTAATCAAAGTAGATATCTTAATTTAATAAGAAATTTGCTAAAATGTAATAACCCTTTTATGACAACATTTTCTAGAAACCCTATAAAATACACATGTTAATATATAATTCAATAGTCTGGGTTTATTTTGTAAACACATTTTGTCTGTACCACTTAAAAATAATTTTGAATCATATTTATTGTTTTGCATACAATTCAGACATTTATTAATATTTAAAAGACCCAAATGCAAAGTAATAAATTTGGATTCTTTTCCCCATAAAAATGGGAAATATATCTTGATAAAGAACTTTTAAAATTATTATTACACACCAGTTAGTTGTTGGAATTGATAGTTCCAGGAAAAAAAATACTTAACCAGCAAAATACAAACAAACAAAAAAACACACAAAAAAAAACACAAAAAAAAATCTGATTAGTATATAAAACAGTTTACAATAATATTGTAAGCAGGAAACAAAAACTGATCAGAAAACACTCTGCCTTAAATTAATTTTCAAACAGATTCCTATTATACCACAGTTTACTCCAAATAACTCTAAGCCCATTAAGAGCTCTTCTATACATACAAAAACTTAGCAAAATTATACAGTACTTATTGCAATAACAAATTAAAAGTTGTCATAATACATGTAACTTAAATACCCCCCCCATTGATAAAGTGGCTTCTTATTCCTTAAACATAAAAATTCTGCTCTTCATTGTAGAAAGATGAAATCCTCTCATCAAAAGGCACATTCTTATCTGCAAGGAGAAAAAAATACTGTAAATGCTCATCCTGGAATATATTTAAACATATTTTAAAATATTCCCAAAGATTTGGAGTGGCAAGAAGATAATAAAAGTATTTAATATTAGGGAATTATAATGAATTGCACCAATAAAACAGATTGTGATTTTGTCTATATTAATTATGTCAGGTGCTATCTTTTACATTATAATTCTAACCTTTTCAAAGACATTTTACATGTAACTAGTGTAATTAAAGACTAGTTCATAGTCATACCAAGTTATACTCTCACATAATTGACTTTAATAAAATAACCTTAGTGCTTATTCTGATAATATGTTATGTTCCATGTTAAAAGTAGTGTTTTAGAAATTAAAACTATTTTCCAATTGGTAACTTTTTCTTTAATATGTTTTTTTTTTATTGATTTCAGAGAGGAAGGAAGAGGGAGAGAGAGAGAGAGACAGAAACATCAATGATGAGAGAGAATCACCGATTGGCTGCCTCCTGCATGCCCTACACTGGGGATCGATCCCACAATCTGGTCATGTGCCCTTGACTGGAACTGAACCTTCAGTCCGTGCACCAACGCTATATCCACTGAGCCAAACCAGCTAGGGCCCAATTGATAACTTTAAATAAAATCTTTTTAATGAGGCTTTCTGGATAAACACTTGAATCTGCCTTCTGATTATGATATGCTGATGTTAAAAAACAGAAAATATTTTGTGGCCAAGTAACACTGCCTACAAATGTAATGAACACATACAATACAATATTAAACTTAATGATGCAGAATATAAGTAGCTAAAAAGAAAATTTAGGAACTTTAAAAATTACAAACTTGGCAAAAATTATTAGAATAGCCTTGAAGTAATAGAATTACTAGCTTTTAGAAGTTGCTAGAATTGTCAAAATTCCCTTTAGTGTAGATTATAAAATAATAATAATTTTGCTATTTAGTAGGAATCAAACAAAATAGCAAGAAGGTATTGTTCCCATTTGTTGTTTTGTGTTGTAAAGCACTGTTTTAAATTGCATTTTTGATACTGGTTATGAGTATTTGTTCCCAATATTTTTAAATTATGTTAAATATATAAAATATATTGTTTCACTTGAGGAAAATGCAAGTAGTTTTTAATCAGAATATGCTCTTAGATTCCTCATCAAAATTTCTAAGAAGGCTGAAGCATCCTACATAATAGTTAAATAACTGTTATTTGTTTTTTAGTTTTATAATTCCTTTGTGTAAAATGTTTCCATAACTAAACAAAAGAAATGCCTTTAATATATAAAATTAGGATATCAATAGCAAATTCAAGGGAAGGTAACCAAGCCAAGTTAATTTTTTCCACATACCTACAAATTTTCCCTATTAGACTGTATTAACCTCAATGCTTAAATTACTAGATATAGTGGTAATGGTGGTTAACTCTTTAATATCCAATCAATCCCCAAAGATAATTCTGATCTAATCATGGCATTTTGATTTCCCCCCCTCCCAGGGTTATTTTATTTTATTTTTAATATATTTTTATTGATTTCAGAGAGGAAGGGAGAGGGAGAGAGAGAGAAATATCAATGATGAGAATCAATGATTGGCTGCCTCTTGCACGCCCCCTACTGGAGATCGAGCCCACAACCTGGGCATCTGCCCTCGACCAGAATCTAACCCGGGACCCTTCAGTTCACAGGCCGACACTCTCTCCACTACGCCAAACCGGCTAGGACTTCCCAGGCTTAGTTTAGAAATGATTACATGACCAATGATATAAAAAACAAAAACAAATAACAAGCAGCAAGTCACTTCCAGAAAACAATTCTGTTAAGAGTTTCTAGGGAAATTTTTCTCATTTCTAAGAAACAGTTACAAGAGAGCTAGTGCAAAACTTCTAGGGAAAGCTAGCATTCTGAATGTCATTATAGGAACTGCTGGCATCATCTTACTGTCAGACTAAAAATGAGTAACAATAACAAATTAAAAGTTGTCATAATACATGTAACTTAAATACCATGAAGCCAACACATGAAAATGGGCAGAACCAAGGGGATCATGGAGAAAAGAAGCCAGAGCCCAGAAATACTGTGCCTGGAGTCAGCCCTACCTGTGACATCTTCCATGTGAATATATCCTCTTTAGAAAATTTAGACTAAACAATATTTGACAGTTTCAGATTGTTCAATCTAATATCAATAGTGAAAATAATTACCTCAAGTCCTAACTACCAACTACAATCATTATTAAAAATTTGACATATTAAAAGCCACATTAAAAAAACATCCCTTTCAGAAAGGGCTAATTACAAAAGGCTTATTTTATACTGTGGTAAAACTGTAAGCAAGGAAATCCATTTACCTTTCTGGAAATAACTTGCTTCCTGTCATTTTGTGGATAGAATTTGGAAAATGAGGAGGAACTAATTTTAGAAAGCACTTAAACAATGAAGGCAGCATAGTAAGAGATGAGCCAACAAGAATTACCAGCAGTTATACTGTAGACCAGTAATGGCGAACCTATGACACGTGTGTCAAAGGTGACACGCGAACTCATTTTTTTGGTTGATTTTTCTTTGTTAAATGGCATTTAAATATATAAAATAAATATCAGAAATATAAATCTTTATTTTACTATGGTTGCAAATATCAAAAAATTTCTATATGTGACACGGCACCAGAGTTAAGTTAGAGTTTTTCAAAATGCTGACACGCCGAACTCAAAAGGTTCGCCATCACTGCTGTAGACTAATATGATTTTGCATTGCAACTGACAAGGTAGGCAAAACAAAGTATTTGTATTTCTCATTTTTAGGGTCCTCATTTGAAAATGAATAATAGCAAGTGCTGGTTTAGATAACAAAACAAACATAATTTATCATTATTCTTTTCATAGGTATAAATCATATAAGTATTTAATAAATGGAGTGAGACTGCACAGCAGGAAGATAAGTCTAAATCATTTAAACTATCTGAGCCTCAGTTTTCCTATCTTTAAAATGAAAGCCGGAACTACTTTGCAAGAGTGTCTTTATTTCATGTAGTTCAGGTAGGGAGCCTAGCACCGTGTCTGGCACATCCTGCTCTCAAGTAGGTATTTATCAACAAGTGACTATTACAATCACCCCTATTGCAGTTCTGTTACCCCACTCTGTCCAGGCTTCTCCCTGGGCTCAGTAATAGGACCCCTGATCTTATCCCTCTAAAGACATCCCACCACTACCACCCATTTCATGGTTTCTTCATATATGGCTGTCTTGGAAAGCCCTGGTGAAAGTCTTCTTTCAGGGCCCCAAAGACCTTATAATGCAGTCTTCATTTTAGTATTGATTTTTTACCTTTATTGGGAGAAACAAATGGCATTATACTTGATTATCATGTGTTATTAAAGTGAGTCATAATAACATCTATATGCATCTTTCCTACAGGGTAAGTTTGAAGTGTTAAATAGATGGCATAATGTATGTTTAATTCTAATACCAATATCAGAACATCAGATTCCTGCTCACTGAATCAATGAAGTTTGGACTCCAGTTTTCCTTCATTCAAATAATTCCCCCTCTATCCAAATGTCCTCTATTGACTAGAATCTTGACTGCCTCTTTTCCTCATTCATTTGCACTGAAAGAAATTCTATATCCATATAATTTCACTTATCCAAACCTCCTAGGAAAGGTCTTAACACTCCGCAAGGCTGGATCTGAGAAAAGACAAAACTACACTACCAGACCATAGACCATTAGTCCCACAATTTTGCCAAGAAGCACTGTTTACAAACAGAGTAACCCCAATTAACACCAAAATATCTTCAGAATGCAGTAATAAAATCAATTTTACTATCTCCCTCCCCCCACCACAAACACACACACACACACAGAGTTAATACATATTCCCAGTATGCAGCAATTAAAAGGACAAATTTCTGCAAGGAAATCTGCAATGAAGATTTCTTTTGGGAATGGTATTCTATTCTTTGTTTACTTTAGTAAAACAATGTGCATGTGAGCTATTGGTTGGGTAGCACAAAGAACTTCATTAAACAGAACTAAATAAAATCTGTTAGAATAACAACTATTAAGAGAAACTGTACTTTATTTTTTCAATTTGCTTGTTCAGGACTTGCTTCCTTATTCATGGGATTAAACCGTGGGACACTTACCTTCGAGGATGATTGGCATCAAACAACGTGTTGTCATCATCTTCATCATCCTGTTCTAAAGGTGTCAGTTCCATGTTTTCTATATTAGTGTCCAAAACTCCGTATCTCCTAGTCTTTCGGTTTCTTCTTCTCATCCTATTAAATAGAATGTATTAATAAATATTACCTAAATAGGGTACAGATGATCCTTATTTTGTATTTATTTGTAAATTAAAAATAAAGTATCCCCTCTGTTTCTGACACAGGAGATTCTCAATATCAGAATGATTCCATTTCAGAAATGTAGCCTAGGTTTTTTAATGAACCATGTTTGTGTGCCATCACCATTTCTTCTGGCATACCCCCTTCTCTCTCTGTCAAGTTATGGTGTTGGTAGATACTCCCCTAAGCTTTAATTCAGGTGCCACATTTTTACTGTAGCCTTCTAGTCCAACCTTTTCCCCACATTTTCCATGCATTCTTACCACTGTACAGGATTATATACTTTCAGCCCCACTGAGAAATGGTATGTCTATACATATTCAAACACTAGACTGGGTATGAGTATGAGTGATACCATGTTTGTATGTGTGGGTGTGTGTGATTATATTCAATCTCTATCACATATTCATCTTAATAACTTTGTTTTGATTTTTAACAATCTTTTATAAATGTGAAACATTCTATTTCATAGGCCTTAAAAAAAAAAAGACAGCACACTGGATTTGTCATATGGGTCATAGCTTGTCAATCTCTGATTTAGATTTATAAAGGTAATTCACAGAAAAACTGAGAACAGGAATGATAAAAATGCTGACTCTGGAAACAGAAACATAAAAGGTACAGGGTGTTATAGTTCACTATTGATCCTTTTGAACTACATGATTTAATAACATTTGCATGTATTCCTTTGATTTGAAAAAGTGAAGGGAGACACCTGGCAGCAAAAGTTAAGGATATTCAGTTATAATTTCTCCTCTTCCTATTTGCCAGTCTTTTGCTCAATTTCTAAACATTCATCTTTCTAAACATTCATCTTCAGTCAACAAAGAAGAATTAATGTCATGGGAAATTATTTTTAGAAATAAACCAGATTCTTCCAGGTTATATATTATATATCAAATAGTCAATATGTTAATAGCTTGGTCATTGCTGGTCACAGGATACCTTGGAAACTCTTGAAAAAGGGAATAATATGATCACAGAGCTTAAGGACTTGTGAAATTTAATCTCAGCTGTCACTCTTCTCCACTCTCACGGTCTTCATCATACCTTGAATGAATTCCCGATCTTTCAATGTGTGGCTAAACAAATATGCCTACTAACACTATTTTTTCTATCTGTGTTCAGTGTAAATAATTCACTAGACTTTGTGAGTCTTTATTATTTATGCTAGTTTGTACTGTCCTTTAATCATGTATATAACTATCTTCCAAACATAAATCCAAGCTCTTGAAAAACGAGTTACTGTATAGTGAATGCACTGTTATGCACCAAATAAACAGGGGAATGCAGATAAATTTAAATTAATTTAGTATTTTAGTAAATGCTACTAGTCTATATAAGAATAAGTAAAAAAAAAACCTGTATAGTGTTAAATATCATTTATTATTTCCCATTTTAGAGTCATTTTTCTATTTCAGTTACAGTTGACAGACATTATTATACTAGTTTCAGGTGTACACTTCAGTGATAGACATTGCATAACTTAATGTCAATATGTGATCATCCCAATAAATATCACACCCATCTAACACTATACATAGTTATCAGAATATTATTAACTATATTCCCTGTGCTGTACTTTACATTCCCATAGAATTTATACTTAAATGAACTTCCCTAAAAGTGTTCTTCCTAGATTCAAACATATAGGCAGTGATAGTTACATGGTTGTGACAGCTACATTGTCATGGGAACATCTATAATAATAATTTCATGCATCAGGCCTCTAGTCAAATATGAGAAAACATGTATGTACCCATACACATTGGTTTTTCTCAGAGAAGGTAAAAAACAGCTGTAAAACTTTAAAATAGGTTGATTCAATGAACCATCTACTTAAAATACTAACAAACATTATGTGTAAATTATAATATGCATAAAAATATACTAAAATTTTTAGTAAAAAGGCTACTTTTACCTTTGTAGTGTACATTATTTCTTAATAAGTCTATTTTTGTTTTTAAATGAATATTCAGAAAGTTATACTTTTACTGCCCTTTTTATACCAACTGAAAAAAAAAATAGGAGTACCAAAATTAGATGGAGAGGTAGAAATCTTAGATTTTTGCCCTAAATTTTTCTTTAAAATTTTCAATTACAGTTGTCATTAAATATTATTTTTATACTAGAGGCCTGATGCACGAAATTCGTGCAAGGGGCTCGGCCCCCCACTGCCACGGCATTGTCCGGAAAATTGTCCAGAAGGACATCTGGTCTAATTAGCATATTATGCTTTTATTATTATAGATTAGTTTCCATTGTACAGCATAATGGTCAGATAATTACATAATTTATGAAATGATCCCCCAATAATTCTAATACCCACCTGGTGCCATACATAGTTATTACTTTTTAAAAAATATATATTTTTATTGATTTCAGAGAGGAAGGGAGAGGGAGGGAGAAAGAGAGAGATTAAAGCATCAATGATGAGAGAGAATCATTGATCCGCTACCTCCTGCACACCCCACACTGGGGATTCAGCCTGCAACTTGGGCATATGTCCTAACCAGGACCTCCTTGTTTATAGGTTGATGCTCAACCACTGAGCCATGCTGGCTGGGCTATTAGAATATTATTGACTATATTTCCTATTCTGTATTTTACATTCCTGTGACTATTTTGTAACTACCAATTTGTACTTCTTAATCCCTTCACTTTGTCATCCAGCTCCCCAAACTCCCTCCCATCTGGCAACCTTCACTTTGTTCTCTGTATCTCTGAGTCTGACTATTTTGTCATTATTTTTAATCACAAGAGTAAAGGAGGCTTTAAACTTAGGTAATTTTAATAGCTACGATTCTTTTCCTACAAATGAATGCTTCCATTGAGCTCATGATACCCAAACTTGTCTATTTGTGTTGATAATTACATATGTATAATTTATAGGCATGCACACTTTTCTACTAAACATAGTAAATGAATATTGCAATCTGAAAACAAATTTTGTTGGCTCTTGGTTTACAAAAAAATAGGAACTTTATTTATAAATGCACAGAGATGGAAATATGGAGGCCTAAAAGGGCAAAAGAAAATAGCTACACGGTTTATTATATTGAATTATATTCATTCATCACATGGCATGCACAGGTTAATGATTGTGATCAGATCCCTTCTAGGTATTCAAGTGATTATTCAAACAGTTATCCTACATAGATGCAGATTCCATTACACTCAGGTTGGTAAGAATTATTTCAGCTTAAATAACCTGTAAAAGCTACAGTAGAAAAAGCAAAACTAAACTACTAAAGTAAGCTTGATAAAATTTTATGTAAAAATGTATGATGCAACATAAAATAAACACCACAGAATAAAACTCCATTTCATTTTACTACTCTGTGAAAGTAAGAAAACCGACCAAGGTAAATTGCTGTAGCCATCTGACTTTATTCTTTTATTTTCCCTTTTAACTGAATACCTGCAGGGTATTATTGACTATGGAATAATATAAATAATATTATTCCTTAATTTCTTCTATAGCACATTCAAAACAAGACTGAGGAATATTTTACTGTATATTTTATGCACAAATACCCCCCTATGTAATTAAACATAATGATAAAGTAGAGTATATCTTAATAAAGGTACAGCTACTGACATGCAGTATTTTTCTTGACTATTTTTTGCAAAGCAGTGAATTAGCAACTAAGAATGATTTATTTATTTTGACTTTACATAAATTTTAATACATAAATCCAAATAAATTACTTGAAGGAAAGGTACACTTCATTATATTATGGTGAAAACAAGTTGTTATATACATTCATTTGGACTAATTAGACTCCCCCCCTTTTTTATTGAATTTATAGGAGTGACCTCAGTTCACAAAACCATGCAGTTTTCAAGTGTACAATTCAACAAAACATCATCTGAACACTGCACTGTGTGCCCATCACACCAAGCAAAGTCTCTTTCCATCCCCACTTTAGCCCCCTTTGCTCACCTCCAACTACCCCCAAACCCCTTCCCCTCTGGCTAACACCACACTGTTGTCTGTGTCTATGTGTTATATGTATGTGTTTTGCTAATCCCTTCACCTTTTTTTTCATCCAGCCCCACACCCCACTCTGAGAGCTGTCAGTCTGTTCCATGCATGTATTCATGCCTCTGCTTCTATTGTTCATCAGTTTACTTTGTCCATTAAAAAAAATATTTTAAACTAATTTTTTTTGCCATTGTGACATAAGTAAATAAAACTTAGTGAGCCACAATTTTAGTCTATGACTTTCATCAAGAAATCCAACACAATTGGATATATGACATGTAGTAAAAATTATTTATTTCCTCTTCATCTCATTGCCCAAACCCAGTCCATCAGTTGTCATTTCAAGTTTTTCAATAAGTAGACACTAATAAGAGATAAGAGTATGTCATGGGTTGAATTGTGTCCCCCAAAATTCACATGTTGAAATCCTAACATTATATTATTGTATTACATTCACTCATCACATGGCATGCACAGATAATGATCTTGATCAGATTTCTTCTAGGTATTCAAGTTATTATTCAAATAGCTATCCTATATAGAGAAGCACATTCCTCAATGTTCCATTATACACAGGTTGGTAAGAATTATTTCTGATAAAATAATATGTAAAAGTTACAGTAGAAAAATTAAACTATTAAAGTAAGCTTCATAAATTTTACCATGTGACTTTACTTGAAGATAGGGTGTTCACAAAGTCAATCAAGTTAAAATGAAGCTGCAAACACAAAGTTCTATTGATTGTTCTTCCTGAGATTCATTGAAGTTCACTTAACAGTGCTCACCACTGCTATCAATTTCCTTGACTATTAAAATAGCTTCCTACCTGTCTTTTCCTATCTACTCTGGTCACCCACTAACCTCCCCTCCATCCTCTAAAACCTCCAATAGTTTCCTACTGTTCAGCATTAAGTAATAATTGTGTAATAAAGCCTACAAAGTTCAA